TAGTTAATAACAACCACAAACTAAACGCGTGTGTAGTTAATAACAACCACAAACTAAACGCGTGTGTAGTTAATAACAACCACAAACTAAATGCGTGTGTAGTTAATAACAACCACAAACTAAATGCGTGTGCAGTTAATAACAACCACAAACTAAACGCGTGTGTAGTTAATAACAACCACAAACTAAATGCGTGTGTAGTTAATAACAACGACGTGTGTAGTTAGTAACAACCACATATTAAAGACAAAAGAGTAGGCTAAGTTAAGCAACAGTTAAGAAACACCTGGTTTATGTATTGCAGTATTTATTGGTGGTAATTTGACGTTTTAAGTGTTAACTGTAATAATTCTAGTTTAAACCATTTTTACCCTAGTGCTGATAAGATAGTTTTTGTGCTTTGAATATTTGAATCGAATAATTTTGTAATTTAGATGTCAACAAAAAAAAAAGAGTCCACATTTTTTTGTTCGGGTGGTGGTGGTGGTTATTGTTTCAAGTAGCACTGATCTTATTATTGTCTAATATTCAGTATTTAAAACACCCTAAAGTAGTTTTTATTCATACTTAACAGCATGTATGTTAAACGATGCATATTTTACATTCACTGGTTGATATTAATGAGTTAATGTTTAGGTTCACTGGACGATCCACGAAATATAGTTTATATATTTTAGATTTTTGTTTCTCGAAGCTATAATCCGCTACTTCATATCCCTTGTTACTCTTTTTAACGAACGTACCAACCTAACATTATCAAAGTAAACAGGACCATGGAACACGAAGAGTCATGTACTTACTTCACAGACACATATTGTCTCGTGCATTTGAAGTACGTAATCTGCTTATTATGTGCTGCTCCCTCGAGATTAGGACTAAGCTCACTTAAGCTCCCTTCATTCGTTGCTTATTTAAAAAAACCTATACCTTGTCTCGAGAGGAAGGAAGCTTCTTGTGTAATTTTCCGTTAATGAACTTGGAAGACATGTAAGTAAAGAGTATTACTGTCATGTTCAGCCGTTCTCAGAAATATCTGTCGAAAAATTCTACTTGAAACTATGTCGGATAACAATGTTGAAAATGTGACACTTTTCACATGTTAGGTTCAAGTACTTAATGTTGTACAAAATTAAGTGTTGAAAAAAGAACGGATAAAATTTACCATTATCGGCCATATCTCCTGAAACATGCTCGCCCTTTCAGCCGTGGGGGCGTTTTAATATGATGGTCAATCCCACTATTCGTTGGTAAAAGTGTAGCCCAAGAGTTGGCGGTGGGTGGTACATGCTCGCCCTTTCAGTCGTGAAGTCGTTCTAATATGATGGTCAATCCCACTATTCGTTGGTAACAGAGTAGCCCAAGAGTTGGCTGTGGGTGGTGATGACTAGCTGCCTTCCACTGCTAAATTAGGGACGGCTAACGCAGATAGCCCTCGTGTAGCTTTGTACAAAGTTCAAAACAATCTTCTGAAAGGATCATTTACCGTTTTGGAAAATATGTCTTTGAAGGATCATATAATTTACTGTTTTGACTGATATGTTATGATATGATCAAATTACTTACCGTTTTAGATGGCATGTCACGAAATTATCAAATCATGTACTAGTTTGGAAGGACAATATCCCTTGGAATGATCAAATCATTTACCATTTTGGAAGGACAATATCCCTTGGAATGATCAAATTATTTACCATTTTGGAAGGACAATATCCCTTGGAATGATCAAATTATTTACCATTTTGGAAGGATAATATACCTTGGAATTATCAAACCATTTACCATTTTGGAAGGATAATATCCCTTGGAATGATCAAATTATTTACCATTTTGGAAAGACAACATCCCTTGGAATGATCAAATCATTTACCATTTTGGTAGGATAATATCCCTTGGAATGATCAAATCATTTACCATTTTGGAAGGATAATATCCCTTGGAATGATCAAATTATTTACCATTTTGGAAGGACAATAACAAATTATTTACAATTTTGAAAGGTGTTACTCGAAATGTTTGTTTGTTTGTTTTGAATTTCGCGCAAAGCTACACGAGGGCTATCTGTGCTAGCCGTCCCTAAATTAGCAGTGTAAGACTAGAGGGAAGGCAGCTAGTCATCACCACCCACCGCCAACTCTTGGGCTACTCTTTTACCAACGAATAGTGGGATTTACCTTCACATTATAATCCCCCCACGGCTGAAAGGGTGAGCATGTTTGGAGTGACGGGGATTCGAACCCGCGACCCGCAGATTGCAAGTCGAGCGCCCCAACCACCTGGCCATGCCGGGCCTTATTCGAAATGTATAAATCCTCATTTTGAAGATATATTCTGAAATGATAAACTTGTTTGTATGTTTGTTTGTAATTAAGCACAAAGTTACACGATAGGCTGTTTGTGCTCTGGCTACCACGGGTATCGAAACCTGGATTATAGTCCGCAGACATACCGCTGTGCCGCTGGAGGGGTGGGCTATTCTAAAATGATCAAATTATTTACCGTTTTTGAGATTTTCTTCTGACATGATAAAATTGTTTAGAAGTTTGGATGATAAGTTTTGAAAAGATCAAATCGTATGTTGTCATGGGTGAAATGACTTGAAATTATCAAATAATTTATCACTTTGGACGATATATATCCTGAAATGGTCAAATCACTACTATAAACATGGATCCTTTAATGGATTCCCAGAACGAGATTTGTAATTAGATATTTTACTTTACTTTACAGTACTTTTCTTACATGTGTTTCCACACAATAAAGAAACAATGGGAAAAAAAAGCAGAGATGTGTATATATATTTCCATTTATCGTAAATCACATAATCGCCATATTGCAAATAGTAACTGTTTTCCTTGACATTTTTACCTAAAGATATTTCTTATAATCTTACGATTTTCATAACGAAACGAAAAATCACTTGATATTAACTTTTTGACTATGTTTCAGTATATACATACTGTGTTTTAAATTGTACAGTTCAGCTTTTATAACATGTACATTTAAAAAAACAAACGTATCACATTTAAAACCGAATAATACAAAGTTTATCTAACTGTCAACTGATCAAAGTAGCACTATGCATCTATTATGCCCTATTTAACTAAAAAAATATCTTACATTTTGTACGCACTTTGAAACTTTCTGCAAGTTTTTCGCTTATTCCACGTTTATTGAAGGCTGTAATAAAAAACTCATAATCCGTTTCCGAATCTAATCCCTGAGCAAGGTAGCTCGGACCAGTAATGCCTTCGACCTTCGATAAGTGTTTTTGTCCAACTTTTCTCCAGAGGACGGTGAATGTCTGTGGAAGTACCCCATTAAAACCTGGTTTCCAGGATATTAAAACTGAATTGTGGGTGACACTGGAGACAGAAACGTTTCTTGATATTTCCGGAAAATCTAAAGAAATACATTTTATTCTAGAATATTCTGCTCCGAAAGGACATTTCTATATTTGGGAGGAACGTTACTCGGGAGAAAATACCCAAATGATACACTTTGCATGAAATCTCAACTCTTAACTGATAAAAATACAGAGTTTGTTCATTTTTACATGGACTGAACTATGTAATTTATTTCAAAGCAAACGTGTCACATTACGCTTCTAGTTCAATTTTAACTTTTAAAATAAAACTCAACAGAAATATGAGAAGATAAAAACCGAAAAGAAACTGAGCAATTATTGTTAAGTGTTCAATAAAAAATAAACTAATAATTAAACTTGTTATTTGTTAACTCTTCAATAGTTCCTGTTTCCTTTAAAACAATCGAGACTTGTTTGTTTTGTATTTAGCAAGTAAACTTCTCTTGATTTAATACCAATTCGCCGGAGAAAAGGCTAAAAGCACTAGGCCTAATAAAACAAATCATAATACAGTTAGATAACACACTAAAGTATCAAAGATCACTCACTGGAAGGTATAAGCTCTACAGTAGTGGAGGAGTATCCAACATTGTTTTCTGCTCGACAAGTGTAATTTCCAAAAGCAAAATAATGCAGTTTTTTGATATGAAGCACACTCGTCCACACCGTTTGTCCATCGTTGTGATATTGAACCTGATAGTTTGAGCTGGTTGCAGTCCAGCTGATTAACTGGGATCCCAAGTACCAAGTTATGGTAACGTTCGGCGTGGCGTCTACAGTACAGCTCATAGTAACACCAGCACCATCTTGGGAATCAGAATTGTACTGTATTACAGGTTCAAGGATCACTGGCTTGTCTGTAATAAGAACAAGAATAAGGCCTAAAATAAGTATACAGAGAATTGGTGTTAGACGCTAAAACGTTGCGCAAGTACTGGTTTAAAATTCTGCACAAACAGTTTCTTGGTCAAATAAATATTCTTATTTTCCCCTTTATACAATGATGGAACCCACGTGCTCCTTCGCAAAACCAGGATAAGTAAACCTGTGCTAGGTATTTATTCATTAAACTATAAGACCACTAGTTACATCTAGTTTATCTCACCACATGTAGCTAGAGGACATTAAACTATAAGACCAGTAGTTACACCTAGTTTATCTCACCACATGTAGCTAGAGGACATTAAACTATAAGACCAGTAGTTACACCTAGTTTATCTCACCACATGTAGCTAGAGGATAAATTCACAGATGATTAACGACAGTTTGAGATTCTTTTAGCTGGCCTAAAAACCAACATAATAAGGATTCGTGAGAACTTTGAAGCTGGCCTAAAACCAGGATTATAAAGATTCGTGAGAACTTTGTAGCTGGTCTAAAACTTGTTTTAGTTTCACTGTAGTAGTATCAGAGGATAAGTAGTTTCAATATGACTCTAGTTTTACATCTGAAGTGTACAATGATAGAGTTATGGTGTAACATGTAACGAATTATTCTATTTTTATATAAAAGCTTGTAGCATCTATAAAAATAAACTACTCAAATGGCTGTTACAAAAACAAATGAAGTTAATCTAGTGTAACTATTTTATGAGAAAATATAGCAACTATACGGAAATAATCCACTACAACCCGCCTTACAAAATAATGATGGTAACACTACAACCCACCTTACAAAATAATGATGGTAACACTACAACCCACCTTACAAAATAATGATGGCAACACTACAACCCGCCTTACAAAAGAATGATGGCAACACTACAACCCGCCTTATAAAAGAATGATGGCAACACTACAACCCGCCTTACAAAAGAATGATGGCAACACTACAACCCGCCTTATAAAAGAATGATGGCAACAGTACAACCCGCCTTATAAAATAATGGTGGCAACACTACAACCCACCTTATAAAATAATGGTGGCAACAATACAACCCACCTTACAAAATAATGGTGGCAACAATACAACCCACCTTATAAAATAATGGCGGCAACACTACAACCCGCCTTACAAAATAATGATGGCAACACTACAACCCGCCTTACAAAAGAATGATGGCAACACTAGAACACGCCTTATAAAAGATTGATGGAAACACTACAACACGCCTTACAAAATAATGATGGCAACACTACAACCCGCCTGACAAAGGAATGATGGCAACACTACAACACGCCTTATAAAAGAATGATGGAAACATTACAACACGCCTTATAATTTTAGACTCGACATGCTGATTTACTGACTTTATTAATGATATAATTTCATAATTTTTAATTTTTCAAGAGGAGCACACTACTACTTTGCAAAAAAAGGGGATACGTTTCCCCAGTTCTCCCTTTCCGGTTCCATCGCCCTTATTCGCTAGTATTTTAATGTCATTGAAAATAAACTAAATCAGCCACACTGCATAATGGAATTTAACTACCATGTATATATTGTCGTGAAGGGTTGATTAGTAGGGAGAATTTAACTACTATGTATATATTGTCGTGAAGGGTTGATTAGTGAGGAGAATTTAACTACCATGTATATATTGTCGTGAAGGGTTGATTAGTAGGGAGAATTTAACTACTATGTATATATTGTCGTGAAGGGTTGATTAGTAGGGAGAATTTAACTACTATGTATATATTGTCGTGAAGGGTTGATTAGTAGGGAGAATTTAACTACTATGTATATATTGTCGTGAAGGGTTGATTAGTAAGGAGAATTTAACTACTATGTATATATTGTCGTGAAGGGTTGATTAGTGAGGAGAATTTAACTACTATGTATATATTGTCGTGAAGGGTTGATTAGTAAGGATAATTTAACTACCATGTATATATTGTCGTGAAGCGTTGATTAGTAAGGAGGATTTAACTACCATGTATATATTGTCGTGAAGGGTTGATTAGTGAGGATAATTTAACTACTATGTATATATTGTCGTGAAGGGTTGATTAGTGAGGATAATTTAACTACCATGTATATATTGTCGTGAAGGGTTGATTAGTGAGGAGAATTTAACTACCATGTATATATTGTCGTGAAGGGTTGATTAGTGAGGAGAATTTGACTACCATGTATCTATTGTCGTGAAGGGTTGATTAGTGAGGAGAATTTAACTACCATGTATATATTGTCGTGACGGGTTGATTAGTGAGGAGAATTTAACTACCATGTATATATTGTCGTGAAGGGTTGATTAGTAGGGAGAATTTAACTACCATGTATGTATTGTCGTGAAGGGTTGATTAGTGAGGAGAATTTAACTACCATGTATATATTGTCGTGAAGGGTTGATTAGTGAGGACAATTTGACTACCATGTATCTATTGTCGTGAAGGGTTGATTAGTAGGGAGAATTTAACTACCATGAATATATTGTCGTGAAGGGTTGATTAGTAAGGATAATTTAACTACCATGTATATATTGTCGTGAAGGGTTGATTAGTGAGGAGAATTTAACTACCATGTATATATTGTCGTGAAGGGTTGATTAGTGAGGAGAATTTAACTACCATGTATATATTGTTGTGAAGGGTTGATTAGTGAGGAGAATTTAACTACCATGTATATATTGTT